CCCGGAATGGGAAATAGGAAATATATGTTCATGTCTCACCAAGAGTTCAAGCCAAAGAGTTCAATCACCAAGTCAATACATACTAGGAAGGCTATGGTTTGGAGACTAGGAAATGATGACATTTTGCATGCATTTCAAATGTATTAGGATGTACGATTTAATTAAGTGGGACATGCACCTGGAGTCTTCTCACGTTCACAGTTGACAGCCATGAATGACCTGACCATTTGTTTCTGGAAATCTGCTTCCAAGGAGGAAAGCAAATGATTTTTTAAAATGCAAAACAGAAAGGAACTAGAGGCAGCATGGCATCAGGCTCATTTTTTCCCCCTAGTAGGTCAATATTGAGACATCGCCCCTCCATTTCTACCTGTGACTTTGTTACTTTCCATGACTATCAGGGTGTGTGTGTGCTTAAATAGTTCCATATTTGGTAATCAGGATATGTGACCCCCTTTTCTCAAATATGCCCTGATGAGACATAGGAAACACCCTGTCACCTTTTCAAAATGAAACACACAAGAAGACTGTATAACCCTTCCTCTAATTAAGAGTAAGCTCTACCCATGTATTACTAGCAATTTTTGTATCACTGTAATCCCAAGTTATGTCTAAAAGACAGCTGGAGACCTGCTGGCCAGATTATGACAGTTTTTACATATATTCTTCATTTCTTTCATTATTTTATTATTTTTAGAGATGGGGTCTATGTTGCCCAGGCTGGACTCAAACTCTGGGGCTCAAGGGATCCTCCCACCTCAGCCTCCCAATATCTAGTATTCTTTAAGACAAGGTGCAGGTAGGAGAAATGCAAAGTGTTTAAAGGAAACATCTATAGGGAAAACAGTAGCGTACGTTGTACATTTTGAGGGTGCTGGGGTAACGGTGAAAATGCAAAGGAAAAGGCCTAATATGCGCCATGTCTGCTTAAGACTAGAAATAGAAAGAAGGTTTCCTACTGGGCTTTTAAGAGCTCTCTGTGGCTGAGCACAGTGGCTCATGCTTGTAATCCCAGCACTTTGGGAGGCTGAGGCAGGTGGATCTCTTGAGGCCAGCAGTTCCAGACCAACTTGACCAACATGGCCAAACCCAGTCTCTACCAAAAATACAAAAATCAGTCAGAGTGGTGGCATGGCACACACCTGTCATTCCAGCTACTCAGGAGGCTGAGGCACAAGAATTGCTTGAACCCGGGAGGTTGAGGTTGCAGTGAACAGAGATCGTGTCACCGCACTCCAGGCTGGGCAACAGAGTGACACTCTGTCTCCAGAAAAAGCTCTCTGCAATGTCAGCACCACAGACTCAGCATTGCCCTGAAGCTCTCCTGTAACTGGCTTTTATTGCTTTAATTAACCAAGGCTGGGTGGGACAGATTTATATCTGTCTCTGTAATGTTATTGTTCCCAGCTTGTGGCTAGCAGCAGCTCTTTACCTTTTGTGTTTGATACCTGTCCTGCACAATTAGCACCTTATTATAGGCTGGCATCTCTCTAATTGCCACTTCTCAATTAAGCACTTTATTTTATTGTCTTGTGCACGAACTAGTTCAAGGTTCTGGGATCCCATACTGTAATAATTCTACACTACTTTTAGGCAGGTGCTGTGTTTTGGGTTTCTTATCTCTTCATGCCCATAAGAACAGTAGGGACTCACAGGCATGCAAACACTAACTGTCTGAAGAGTTACTAGATATTTCTCCTGAGTATGGCATATGGCTGGAATCTGGGTCTCCATGCATGCTACTCAACCCTAGTATCAGATCTATCAGCCTTCTTTGCCACTGAGGGCTCTCTCGTTAGCTACTTGGAGTTAATGTTCTATTCTGCTCATACATAAACTTTTGCCTTGTTTAAAAGGTTGGACTACAACAGACACAGGAACTTCCCATCAGCACCACATTCCATGTTCCTCTAGAAAACTGATTCAAGGGATATAAATTTATGCTTGAACAGATTCCTTGCTTTTGGAATTAAGGTGAACTATATCGTTCAGAGGGCAGTAACCCATGCATAACAAAATTGGGACTTCCTTCACCAAATACTCTGGTGAATGAAATAAAACCTAGGGGAAGACTGTGTAAGGTGATGGTTAGGAGTGTGGGCAGGAGAGCTAGACTACCTGGTCTCAAGTCCTAGTTCTGCCATTTACCAATGATATAACCTGTGACCCTGGTTAAGGCATTTAACTTCTCTGTGCCTCATTTCGCAATCTGCAAAATAGGGATAAAAATAATTGCTTCATAGGGCTGTTACAAGGACTGAATCGCTTAATCTTTATAAAGTGCTTAGAACAATGCTTGGTATACAATAAGCATTATGTAAATTAGTGTGAAAATTAGAGTATAGGGTTATAGAATACACAAACTTACAGATTGGTATGCCCCAATTCATTTATTCATTCAATAAATGAATCCAATAGTGACAGAAAAACTGGTTTAATAGAATACTGTGCTATCTTTGACTTCTTAATTTTTTTTGGTTATATGTTCTTTAATTACTTCAATAAACTAAAAAAGAACTCTAAATTTATGGATTTTAAAGCTGTCCAATGCTCTATTACAGCAAAATGATAAAAATGTTCTGGCAGCATGTAAGCAGAATGCTTAGTAAAGATTGTCACTTTTTTTTTTTTTTTTGAGATGGAGTTTCGCTCTTGTTGCCCAGGCTGGAGAGCAATGGTGCAATCTTGGCTCACCTCAAGCTACACCTCCGGGGTTCAAGCAATTCTCCTGCCTCAGCCTCCCGAGTAGCTGGGATTATAGGTGCATGCCACCATGCCCTGCTAATTTTTTGTATTTTTAGTAGAGATGGGTTTCCTCGTGTTAGCTAGCATGGTCTTGATCTCCTGACCTCATGATCTGCCCTCCTCGGCCTCCCAAAATTCTGGGATTACAGGCATGAGCCACCATGCCCCGCCAAGGTGGTCATTGTTTTAGTAGACAATTTGAAAAGGAACATTCTACTGTTTATATCTCTCATACCTACTTAGCCTAGTATCATTTGTAACATTTTTTAGCAAATACTGCCAACCCTTCTCCAGTATGGAATTTCTACCAATTGTCAGGGGCACAGATCAAATATATGTTGTATATTTTAAAAGACACTGGGAAGATCTTGACATAAAGATGACCCCGTGGTTTCTGAACTCGAGCTTTTCTTCCTCTTTGCTGATCTGTCCATTTGCTGTCACCTTTTGAATCCTTAGTCCTCTCACATAATCCTAGTTTCTAAAACCCAGCTTCCAGGGTCTCTCCTTTCTGAGCAAATCTCTAGCACATCTAGAAAATACCATTTCTAACATCAGCAATCTCATGTTATCTTATCACACAGAGCTCCTCACACAGAACCCAGCTGTCCAACCACACACAAACACATCTGTGTGCCACAACAGGTGGGGCACCTGTGCCCTCATTAGGGTGGAAGCCCTTCCAGCTTCACCTCTCCCAGTTTCCCAGGAAGGCAAAGTCCAATCCTGCAAGATGTCTTCCTTTTAGGTGCCCCTGTAGAGAACTATGTAGAGACATAAGAAACATCTAATGTCCAGTCTACTAAGAACTGATCATCAATTTTGGAGTTCAGCAATTTAATCATTAAGAATGTAAGCAAGCACTTCCTCTCTGTAACTTCAGACGACCTCCCAATCCCACTGTGCCCACTGATGCCACCATCATAGCTCTAACCACCCTGATCTATGGTTATTTTGGCCCCGGAGCCTGAACCACTGCCAGGGAACTTCTCTGGGCATAGTGTGTTTTACTTGCCTTGTGTTCCAAAGGTAGCACAAAGCCTATCTATAGTAGGCTCCCAATAGTTACTGTATTTGAAGCCATTATCTGAGAAATACCAACCTTTTTTTTTTTGGCTGATCAAGCTAATTAGGGTTACTTTCACTTTTGAGAACAGGGAGGGTCCTCATAAATGGAACATCAGGAAAGTCATGAGACTTGCTTCAACTTGCCCTCGTTTCAACTAATTCGGGTTAACTTTCTCCCATTTACCAACACGGCTCCTTTAAAACTTGCACCATACTTTTTCCGCCGCGCCTAAATGAGTTCCTCTGGTGACCCCAAAAGGAACCTTGACCTTGCAGATACCCTCTCCGGGCATCCAATGCCTATACTCCCACTCGGCCATTGCATGGGGTTGGCTTTTTTACGGGCAACTGCTCCCAGCTCCCAGCTACCACTTCCATCAAGCCGGGGTTTTCAGTTCCCGCTAGGAAGCGTCAGGGACGTCCGGGCACTGCGCACCCAGCTAGCGCCGGTTACCAAGCGCCTCCTCCCCCTAGTCTTTGGGACTATGCTGATAAGCATCCGAAGCAAGAGGTCCCAGCAAGGTACTGGGTCAGCGTTCGGTCAGAGTGAGCGAGTCAGCGAGAGATATTCCTGGGTGGAGGGGTGGGGACGCCTTAGGTCTAGTGTTCCCCACTCCCAGCCCGGACCCTTCCTACCGAGAACTACCTACAGAGGGCTGCATCGCCTCTCCTCTTCAGCCTCCCTAGGGACTAAAGAAGTGGAGGGGAGAAGAGCGGGGCAACGCCACCCCCAGGCCAATCACGACGTCCGCCCTTCCTTAGTCGGGGTCTGTCTGTCTCTCTCTCTCTCTCTCACACACACACACACACACACACACACACGAGACACACACGAGCTCCTAGGTCAACTCCAGCTCTGAGCAACTGCGCCGCACACCTCTCCCACTGCAAGTCCCCCGGCCCGTGTGGCTCTCCTCACCCCAGCTTCTTCACCCCAACCCCAGTTTCCCCTCCCAACTGACCGTGAAGCCGGAGGCAGTTCCCCAGTCCCAGGCCCCCGGGGGCGCTCCCGCCGCTGCCTTCCCCTGCAGTCCCCAACCCGGGACCGGGCCTCCGGCTGCGGCGATGACTCCTTGAAACGAGGCGCCGCGGTTCCCTGGACTCGGCCAGACACCGGGCGGCGCGCAGGAGAAGCCCATCGAGCTCCCGGCAGTGGCGGCGGCCGCCGCGCAGGTTGATGACGCGCGGACGCGGCGGGTGGGGCGTGGGGGAGTGGTCCAGCGAAGACGACGCGTGCAGATGACGTTTGGCTCGCGGGGCAGCTCGGCAGCATGGCGTCAGTGGCGCTGAGTGAGGCGGAGAAGGTGTACATCATGCACGGCGTACAGGTAGCTACAGCAGCGGCGTTGGGTCGGCCGCCGGGTTCAGCCTAGCCCTGCGGGTCGCGGCCTACCCTGGGTTCGCCAAGCAAGAGGCAGCCGAGCTGCAGCGACTCTCCGTTTACCTGTGATTAAACGGCTGTGCGGGCGGCGTTTGCTTTGCAGAGCTGACAACGCGGACGTTTTTAAGACTGTTAGCGCATTTGCAGTTTTGCGGGTCTGTAACATTCCGAACCCGGGCAGGAAGCGTTAGTCCCGGAGGTATTTTCTTAGAGAGAGAGCATCGCCCATGGCCATCCTTTCGGCTTTCGCGCACTTAACTGGTCCGAGCCTCAGTTTTCTTTTCTAGGAAATGGGAGTTTGGAGGTAGGCTTCTGGCCTGCCTTTCCTCACCTCGTGGTTGGGAAGCGCATGCGAGGTGAACGCACGGCAAAATGCAAATTGCCGTACAAATAAAGGGAGAAGGGTTTTTGTATGGCAGTTTGTAATTTCAAAGTGGGTTCAGCTCGCATGCGCCTCCCAACTACGAGGTGAGGAAAAGCAGGCCAGAAGCATTGGCTCAGGTCTGTAATACCGGCACTTTGGGAGGCCGAGGCGGGCGGATCACCACGTCAGCAGTTCAAGACCAGCCTGGCCGCATAGTGAAACCCCCGTCTCTACTAAAAAATACAAAACTTAGCCAGGCGTGGTGGCAGACCCCTGTAGTCCCCGCTACTCGGGAGGCTGAAGCAGAGATTGCAATGAGCCAAGCTCGTGCCACTGCACTCCAGCCTGGGCAACACAGCGAGACTCTTGTCTCAGAAAAGAAAGAAAGAAAAGAAAATACAAATTGCCTTGCCAATAAAGGGGAAGGGTTTTTAGACAGCGGCTAGGCAGCTGGTATCATAAGTGCTGTTTCCATTTTGCCAGTGGAGAACTAATTCCCTAGGCAGCTAAAACCTAACGTCCTCTGTGCTCTATATTAAACCCCTGGTTTTGACCACTCCAGAACGAGGATTGAAAAATGTTGAACGTGGTAACGAGCTACCCCGTATCTTCCTCTGACTCTGTCTCCACTTGTTAACCCACGGTGTCGTCCTCCTATCAGAGTTCTTCAGCCCACCCTTGGCAGAGTTCTGGTCACAGCCCCTCCTCATGGTTTTCCTCTCTCAGTAAAGTTAGTGGTCCTGGGATGTAGCCATTAAATTGAAGCGGCCAGCTGTCATTAAAGTTCCACAACGTGAGTTAAGGCCATGTCCATTTAAAAATTGTCACCTGCTGTTATCTTCTGGGCCCTCTATAGATGAAGAAATGCCAATATTTGGCCAACAGGTTGTATATTAAGCCTGGTTAATAAAGTCAGAACTCATAGTTGCATATTTTAGTTATAATTCAGGATTAGGAGTAGTGGGATATATGTGTGTATTCTGGGGAACTTGTATGTTATTTGTGTGTGAGGGGGCATAAAAATGCCCAAAAGCCATTAGATGTGTCTTTCCCTGATATATATATATATATATATATATATATATATATATATTTTTTTTTTTTTTTTTTTTTTTTTTTTTTTTTTTGAGATGGAGTTTCGCTTTTGTTACCCAGGCTGGAGTGCAATGGCGGGATCTCGGCTCACCGCAAGCTCCGCCTCCTGGGTTCAGGCAATTCTCCTGCCTCAGCCTCCTGAGTAGCTGGGATTACAGGCACGCACCACCATGCCCAGCTAATTTTTTGTATTTTTAGGAGAAACGGGGTTTCACCAAGTTGACCAGGATGGTCTCGATCTCTTGACCTCGTGATCCACCCGCCTTGGCCTCCCAAAGTGCTGGGATTACAGGCGTGAGTCACCGCATCTGGCCCTCTCTGCTATATTTTTATATACACTTTGTTCAGTTGATTTTTATCCTCAAAGTATGCTTTTTAGGGACACATTAAGGGTAACCATTTTTCTCTAAATTTAAAAACCTTTGGTTTTCTTTCTTTGTTACTGCAGCTTACCATGATATACTGACTCTGTCATGTGTCCTGTTTTCTCTCACATTTCATCTCTGAAAGTGGCACTGAGGCATGGATATATCTGTAACCTCAAGGTTAGAGATGCCTTCCCAGCACCCTTAATTCCCATGGCAGTTCATTATCCAGAAGCAGAGTTCCACCATAGTCATAAATCCTGCCTTATTCCTTTATATTGAGTCAGAAAATCATTTATATTTATAACACACCTGTTATCTGCTGGGTGCTGTCAAGGAAGAAAAGGGTGTAAGCCTCATTTCTGGCCCTTGAGATGCTTAGGATCTAATTTGGGCAAAGTTAGTTAATTTTATTTACATCATCTATCTAGTCTCTGGCATGTTATGTGGGAAACAGTAGGGATGCTAAAACATGGTTGTGAAATCAATGAAAGATAGGAGGGAGACAAAGAGAGTAAAAGTGAATAAAATAAAGACTAAGGTAAAATAAGATCTCTGCCAAGGAAGTGGTATAGTTAGTGGAGGTTGAAGAAGTTAAAGTATACCAGGGGCTGGGCATGGTGGCTCATGCCTGTAATCCCAGCACTTTGGGAGGCTGAGATGGGAGGGAGGATTGCTTGAGCCTAGGAGTTTGAGACCAGTCTGGGCAACACAGTAAGACCCCATCTCTAAAGAAATAAAATTTATTTTTAAAAAATAAATAAAAAAGAATTCCAGGGACTTATAATGCTCTGAAGGCTTCCCTAAGGAGGTGGAATTGCTCCCCTAAATCCGTATCAAGGATTTTCCCTCTGTATCTTCAGGACTCAGTATGCATTTATTCAACACAGAATGGAGCTGGGCTGAGGGACTAGGAAGGAACATGCAGAAATTATTAATGTACTTGAGTGTTTATGTATAAAATTGTACTGAGTGCTATGAAGGAAAACACAGGGATACGATCTAGACTGGGAGGTCAGAGGAGGCTTCCCGAAGGAAATAGCATTTTAACTGAGCTCTCAGCATGACCGATAATTAAGTAGGGATGAGTGTTCCAGAAGGAAGGGATGGTGAGTCTGTAAGTCCTCAGGTGGGGGATGTGTGGAGCCTAAGGGGTGGGTTGGGGGAAATGGTGGAAGATCAGCTTGCAGAGGTGGCCAAAGCATGATTCAGTTGCTAGTAATGGTAACCAACACACTGGCTCAAGCAAAATAGTGTGGATTACAAGACTGCGAGTGTTTCTCCAGGAATCCACAGGCACTTGGATGAGCAAGGCTCTCTCTTGCTCATCTCTGCTTTTTTTCCCCCCACTTTGCTTTGTTTTGGTCTCGCCGCAGATTGGTTTTCTGCTTCTTGGGCCAGTGGTAGAAAAAATGTGGTTCCTTACCAGCTCTTCTGTAAAAGAGACCATTCCTTCTAGTTCACTTCTGAACTCATGTTTCCAAGAGAAAGAAACTCTGGTTCTTTTTGGAGGTGGTGGGAAAGGATGGACAGAATAATTAGGCTAAAACATGGCCATTAGAGGTTGTGTCACATTTGGGAGAAATTAGTTTATGAGAAGGTAGGGTGGATCATTTTAGTTTTGGGCAGAAAATGAGTCCACTTCAGATAGTTCAGGAGACTTTTATGATGGGACTGTAGAGTAGTATGGGTAGGTTTCAGGGAAGCAGTAAGAGATGTTGAGGAGCCTGAAGACAAACAACTACTGGGAGTGGCTACTGCCCTTAGTCCAGCGGGGTCCCGGGAGGAAACAGTATTACCATATTTCAGTGATAGCGGAACTGTGGAGGAAAGCTGTCTAACAGAAGTCATAGTCTTGGATAGATGCAGGCCCTATCAGAAATGTGGCCCCTTGGGGGTGAGGGACACCCTCTGATCTGGTATGTTCTATTGGGCAAATTCAACCAGAAGCCAGCAAAGGGAGTCTAGGTGATACAATTTGAGTCAACCTGGTGAACAGATCCCCTCTCCCAGGGGAGAACAGAGAATCAAAAAGGTTAGTTAAATCAGTATTTTGATAAATGATTTGATTGGTTTCTGTTAGGTTCTTTTTCAGTCTTTGAAGGCTGTATCCCATTCTTATTAGGTACATATTATAATTTTTATTTCATTGAATGTTTACAACAGTTCTGAAGGTTAAGTAGTATCTCTACAGACAAGGAACTGAGCTCAAGGTGATACAGTAATTGAGTGGTGGAGCTGGGATTTAAATTCAGATCTGTCTGATTGCAAAGCCCATACTTGATTCTGAGGCCACCTTCCTGCTTCAGTGAAAGTCATTGTCTTCTTCTTCCTCAGTAGGGAACCAGAGATCAAGGTGGGAGAGAGTCTTTGCTTCTTCTACCTCCTTTTCTTTCTCCTTTCCTATGAAAGCTTGTGGAAACAGGAAGGGAAGGAGAAGGTTCTAACTGACATCTCACTCCCCAGTTTTTCTAGAGCATATGGCATATGCTGCTGTATTGTTTTGGTTGCATTTTCCCCACATTTAGTGTGAGTTCCTTTAGAACCCTATGTTGTGTTTCTTTGTATAGCTTTTGTCTTACAAGTTCTCTGCAGAACTTGGGGCAGACTTCAGAATTTTTAGAATCTAGGATTTATTCTCTTTTCTGGCTTAATTGGCTAGATGTATATTTTCTTCATCCACGAGAAGCCATTGCTAACTTCCCTCTTAGCACAGGGATTCTAAAGCATTGAAGTGCATATTACTCACCTGCAAAATACCGATTCTGAGGCTTCACCAACATTCTGAATCAGACTTTCTGGGGCTGGAGCTTGAGAATGGACATTATCATAAAGTGTTGGAAAATTTGGGGGCAGTCACTGGACATTGGCCCATGGGCAAACCACTGACCTGGTTCAGACCAAATTGTGATGCAAGAATCTCTGCTCTCTCCTGCTGAAGTCACATGGTTTCCTTGCCTCTGCTTGAATGAGGCTTTGGAGTCAGATTGAGCAGGCACCTTCACCATTTACAATAAGTGATTTTGCTTGCATAAATGAGCCTGCTTCCCCTTGTGTAAAATGGGGACATATTCACCTGGAGGTAGAAGGGGGTTATGAGGAATGATGAGATAGGAGATGTCAAGCACTTGGCCTGTGGTTAACACAGAAAAAATGCTGGCTCCCTTTCAAGTTTGTTTTTCCATCAGAAGTGTGACTTTGTCCTAAACCATCCACACTAGATACCCAACCTTCAGAGTGACCTCATTAAAGATTCAGCCTGTGGCTGTTGAGTATTAAACCTCTTTTGATTTGAAGGAATTTGGATTTTTCAGTTATCTCAAGAAAAGAGGTAGGCCAGGTACAGTGGCTCACACCTGTAATCCCAGCCCTTTGGGAGGCTGAGGTGGGAGGATCACCTGAGGCCAGGAGTTGGCGACCAATCTGGGCAACATAGCAACACTCTATTTCAAAAAAAAAAAATTAGTCCAGTGTGTGATGATGTGTGTCTGTAGGCCTAGCTGCTTGGGAGGCTGAGGCTGGAGGAGATTGCAGTGAGTTAAGATTGCACCCCTTTACTCCAGCCTGAGTGACAGAGAGAGGCTCTGTGTCAAAAAAAAAAAAAGAAAAGAAAAGGGAGATCTGCAGCAAGAGCTGGAAAGTCCCCAGGCAGCTCTGAGGTACCACCTCTCGTGGGCTCTGTGGATTACCTCATGGCCTGTGTGGCTGGCTGACTGTCTTTATCTCTAGTAACACCTCTGCTTTTCTCTGCCAAGATCTATCCCTTCTCTCCAGCCACTTGCTGTCCAGCTTCCCTTCTTTATAGAGTCTGCCTCTGCCCAACACCTTTGCTTTTGTTTGGCCTCTCGGGACTCCTCCATATCATGACCTGTCAGCTCCTTTTAAACTTCTTTCTTCTCTCAAGTGTTTCTCAGATCAGAGATCAGATTCCAGTGGAAGAATCAGTTTAGTCTGCTAGTATTTGATGCCAAAAAGAGCTGGTCGCCCTGTGGATGATATGCCTTTGGTTCAGGGACCTACCCCTGGTCTTGGCTTTTGGGGATGGATTGTGACTGTTATGTGGTATTTATAGGGCTGTAGGCATAATAAAGCTTTCCCAGTCAGCCTACTGAGTGCTGTGGCCATGACCTGGACATTAAACTGGCCCTCATACGTTCAGACCTGGCCATGGTAGTTGATTAACCCCATCACGGGGCTCTTGGGACACTATGAAAGCCATTTTATTGTATGTTCTTGGCTGTGGAAGGGAATTGTGGCTCAGCTGATGGCTTCCATTTCTTTTCTGCAGATCTAGCTTTCATCATAAGCATTGTTTAGGGGTACATTATGGAAGAGGAAGATCAGGGCCTCAGCCTAGTTTTCAACTATGAGATTGAGCAGGCCGTATTCAATTGTTCAATCTGGCCATGACAGAATTAGAGCTGGGTCCCAGGACTTTTGATTTTTACTCTCTGACCTTTCTGTTTACAGACCCATGGCACAGAAAGCCTTATGCCCGAACACTGCAGGTGCAGCCTTATGGAGCCATATCCTTTCAGAGGAATCCCTGGCTACGCAACAGGGTTGGAAAGTCAAACAAGGATAAACACCTAGTTTTTCCTATTTTTCGTATTTATAGAGGAGCAAAACACAATTTACACTGTCCAAATAAAGGTCAGGATGCAGGTGAATGAGCCTACCATGGAATCTTCACGGATTCAGTTCTGAAATCTCCTGAACCTTTTTTTCGTTGGTTAGAGGGCCAGCAGTGCACCTTAAGCAGTGTATGCCTGGACTCCTGTTGCTTGTATAGTCCTAGTCATGGGCCTGAGCCTGCAAAGCTGGATCAGATGTGGCCCCTTTCCTAAGGGAGTGCAGGTCACCTTCTAGTAGGGGAAGGAATTTAGTCTCACTTCTCTAGGAATCTCTGGAGTATCAGACAAGTCAAAGCAAGGTAATGAGGGACTAACACAACGTCAGAGGACACTTTGAGTATAAAATCCTTCCGGGTGTGTCAGATTGGTAGGGCCAACTTGTCAGTTTCTATTAAGAAATAATAGGACTGAGCTTCCTGGGTGTTAGGGAAAGCAGGTCTGGGCTTAGTTAAATGTCCTTCCACTCTGTCACAGACAGGAGATTGAAACTTATGTGCCTCCATTCTTATCTGTAACCTCTCTCAGGGTTGTTTTTGAAGATGCAGTGAGTTAATGCATGCCCCCAGCAGCAAGGGAATGGAACTGCTTTGGGGGGACTCCTAATGTGTAATACTGCAGGGCTCCCTTAAATGCTTTATGACGTTTCTGTTCTCTTGTAATTCTGTAAAGTCAGGGTTATTTCCACTTTCTAGATGAAGAAACAGGCTTAGAGCCATTGAGGTCAAGGTCACAAAACTGGCATGTGACAGCAGAGATTTAAATATAATTTGGAAGGTGACAGTTTCTACCACACCACACCCAATTGGTAGGGTTGTTGTGATCACATGAGTAACAGCTATGAAAGTTACCAGGAGCTATCCTGACATCCAGAAGCCCTTGCTCTAGAGGCACATCAGTCTCCTCTGCTGAGAAGGAGAGGATACCCCTCCATGCTGTTGACATCTCTTGAGTTTTAAAATGGAGCTTTTACTTCAGGGTGACTCTCTTTAAGTGTTCACACATGGATTAATTCGTTTGCTACTGACTGCTGCAGATAAATAAGAACTGTGGCAGGGCACCAGGCTCTGAGCTAGGCCAGGCAGGTTTGGGTAATTTCCTAAGCCTTTTATAAGGAGACCTAGATTTAAAAAAAAAAGTTGCCCTGGGTACAGTGATTCATGGGCTGGTTAGTTTGGGTTTTTTAGTTTGTTTTCCCCCTATTCTTTTAGGTGCTTTTTTTTTTTTTATGGAGAAAATTCTGCATGCTTGGAAAGGAAAATTTGTAGCTTGTCTTTTACTTATCACCTGAACCTTCTCCTGGGAGGCAGAGTGAATTAAAGGGTAGAAAGTCAGTATCTAATCAGGCTCAGTTTTCTGAGAGCCCACCAGCCCCATCCTCGACCAAGTAGGTTTTCACTATAAAGAGGTGTGACTAATCTTCAGAGCAAGGGATATTTTAGAAGTAGTTGGACCAAATGTGGTGGCTCATGCCTCCCAAAGTGCTGGGGAGGCTAAGGTAGGAGGGTCATTGAGGCCAGGAGTTTGAGACAGCTCGGGCAACATATCAAGGCCCCATCTCTACCAAAGAAAAGATTAAAAATCAGCTGGGTATGGTGTCATGTTCCTGTAGTCCTCGCTACTCAGGAGGCTGAGGTAGGATTGCTTGAGCCTAGGAGTTAGGAGTTTGAGCTGCAGTGAGCTATGATCACCATTGCACTACAGCCTGGGTGACAGTGAGACCCTGTCTCAAGAAAAAAGGAAGAGATAACAGCAGTAAACCCTGTGACCTTGTGGCCAGCCAGTTCATGCTATGAAGGAGGTTTGTGCGGAGTCCTTTCGTAAAGTGAAGAGACCCTTGAGAAGGCAGTGGACAATGTAGCCTAGCAGCTAAGAGCTCTGACTTGAGGTTCAAATGCTACTTACTGGCTGTGTGAACTTGAGCCATTCATTTGACATCTTTTCACCTCCATTTTCTCATTTGTAAAACAGAATAGATAGCACTATCTTACAGGATTATTGAAAGGATTAAATGGATTAACCGGGCAGTATTCCTCACACATTATCTGGTGTATAGTAAATGCACAGTAAATAGCAGCTGCTATTATTTATTGCAAATAATTGCAGCCATTTTAATTTATAGATCTGTGGAATTAGAGAATCATGTTTGAGACTAATTTAATTTAATCTTTATCTTTTACAAATAAGGAAACTAGTCCAGAGAGGGAAGGGGCTTAAGTCAAGTGGCACTAGTTAGAGCTAGGAGCTGGCCTGGAACCATGAGTCATGTTCCTACTGATTGCTTACACTTATACCATATCTACACCCCATGAAGAACTTCTTGTCATTGAAGTTTCTGGGCTGGGTTTTCACTTTCCTAGCTGGGGAATGGGGCACATAGAGGTGGAGAGAGGGGTAGAGTGTCAGAGATGGAGCTAGAAAGCCTTCAGGTTCCATGGGTGAGGTTGGGAAGAGACACAGTTACATTGTTATGGGTCCTCTGATGAAGAGAGATCACCTTCTGGAATTTTACCCCAAAGTCTCACTCTCCTAGACTTGAACTTCTGTTGCTTTTTGAATTCATCTCCAGACTCAAGATGGAGATTTCCTCCAGGGAGGAAATGTCCAAAATGTGCTGGAAAAGGATAGGCTGCACAGGACCTTCCACCTGATTTGCAATGTTTATTTTCTGTCATTGAAAAGTTAAACGGGTGAAACAGCTGAAGCAAATATGGCAGAGGGTGATCATCGGGACTGTGTAGTAGGGACATGCCTCTGTGTTTTGCTTTTCTCTGTTTAATTCCTAAAAAAAAAAAAATCAGTCACATATTCTGTTAATCTGGCAGTTTAAAGATAAACTGTCAGTCACATACTTTAGAGCAGTAGTTTATTTTACTTTTTATGTTTCTGGGAAGCATCAACTCTTTGGAGAATCTGATGAAACTAATGATTCTTTTTCTGGAAAAAAACAAAACAACAAAACTCCTTTTGAAAAATGTTTACAAAGAGCTCTAAGAGCCAATAGAGAATGATTTCCTGCATAGATATAGTTAAGTTTTTTTTTTTAAATAAGAGTATCTATAGTATTCCACTCTTTTATAAGAAACAAGGAGATATTTAAAAAGTAATGTATTTGCTTATTTGTGTAGAGAAAATACAAGAATGATAAACTAGAAACTAAAGAGAAATCTGGGGTGGATTGGAAGAAGGGGGCATGAAAATAGCATAATACAGAGAAGAGGAGAGAGACATTTTTCTGAGCATACTTTTCTGAGAGTTTTGTCTCTTAGAACTATAATAACTTACAAACCCAGAAAGTAAGTAATTCAAAAAGTAACCAGGATGTAGGGGAACCCAAACTGGAATACAAAAATTTGCAAATGAAAATTAGCCAGGCATGGTCACACATACCTGTAATTCCAGCTACTCCAGAGGCTGAGGCAGGAGAACCGTTTGAATGCGGGTGGCTGGCAGAGGTTGTAGTGAGCTGAGATCTTGCCACACTGCACTTCAGCCTGGGCTACAGAGCTATTGTCTTAAAAAAAAAAAAAGTTACAAATGAGTCTGTGTTACAAGTGAATAATATAACCACACAGAAGGGCACTGTTGAAGAAAAGAACTAAAGTAACTGGAAAACAGTATTTTGGCTGGATACTATGAAGCTAAAGACAGAACTTTATGCAAATACTGTATGCTGTTAGTACAGGGGTATGGGCAAGAAGTTCAGAAACTGTGTATTTGAAGACTGAACAAATACAGAAATACATGGTAGCTAATAAGAACCGGCTTTCTCCTTCTTTGAGAAAGAAGTTACAAATCAGCAAAGGAGGAAGGTTAGAATGAACCTTATGATGTTAGATTGGAATTAACCTATCAGTATGAACTCCTGGCTTTTTAATAGATATGTTGATAGATACAAAATTAAACATAGATTTGGGTGTGGGGGATTAGTACACATACCTATATTTTCTAGCTTTGTCTGCTGAGAAGGTCTGGAAGAAATAATACTCCCAACAGCAATGAACTTAGTGCCCAGATCGTAGTTTTAAGTACCATTAAGTACCCTTCTGCAGTAAAAGCAACCAAGGCTCTTTGGAGAAAGGCTTGATCCCTAGGGTTGGGCAGAGAAAACACAAGAGGATAGATAGCTTGTGTTGCACAAAGTAAAAATTACTCACAAAAAGTTGGAGGCATGTTGAAAGAGCACAAAACTAACCTAAGAAGCCCCTAGTGGCCAAATTTGGAACACTTTGAGCAGCAATAAAACTGATGATAGTATTGATTATAACCATAGCATAAAATATATCAATTAGTTGTACTGATACAAATAATTGAAGAAGTAAATAAATGGGCAGAAGAAACAGGCAGTGTGTAGACCACCCTGAAAATCATCTTCTGCCAACTTACAGGAAGTCAGCAAACTTCCTGTAAAGCACTAGATAGTAAAGATTTGAGGCCGTATGGATCATGTCTCTGGCCCAGCCTCTCAGCTCTGCTTTTGTAGTGCAGAAACAATCATAGACAATACCTAGACAAGTGGACATGGCTGTGTTCCAGTAAAACTGTGTACAAAAACAAGGGAACTTAGTTTGTTGACCTTGTTCTAGAGAATGCCTCTCTTAGAAGATTAGATGTCTTTCACTGTTTACACAGTGGATCTTGTTGAGTTTTAGGGGTAGGAGGGCTTCAGTTGAGATGATTATACCCTGTAGCTCTGACAACATATACTTTTTGGTGCAGTTTAACAATTGTAGGTTTGGAGAGAAGTGGCTTGTTTTGTCTCTTGTTTTTGTGTGCATATTCTATATAGTGGTATGTAGTATAGCTTTTGCGATCAGACACAACTGGCATGGAAAACTAGCTTTGTCTTCACTAGCTGTAGGACCTCGGACAAGTCACTCAACTCCTCTGAGTCTCCATTTCCTCATATGTAAAATAGTCATATTGTTATTAGCTGCAAGGACAGAATTTTAGATGATCCGCTAAGAGGAAAAGAGATATACTGCATATGTCTTCTCTAGGGGGATATGAGTGAGTCAGTCTAGGAGTCTGTTGTTGGTCTGGGGTAACAGCCTTTGGATTGTGGTTGTTAACACCTAGGAAGACCTCCGCGTGGATGGCCGTGGCTGTGAGGACTACCGATGTGTCGAAGTGGAAACTGATGTGGTGTCCAACACCAGCGGGTCCGCCAGGGTCAAGCTGGTGAGTATTGGACCATGGTTGAAGCCCAGGTGGAGAAACAAGTAGGCCCTAAGGAACGACCTGTTGACGCCTCCTGGCTTCTGGAATGCAAATTGCTCTTGGGGACATCCAAGATCCAAGCCAAACTCAGGGAGGCAGGGGTCTGTCCAGATCTGAAAGATTGCTCACTTCCTCTAAAAGCCACTTTCCAAGTCTTAGCACGGCTCCTAAAAGAGTCCCCAGGGGTGTATATCCACAAGATAGGGGAGGTGGTGGAGTACCTGGCTGCCTGCCCTGAATGAGGATCCTTCTTGCATGTGTCTGCAGGGTCACACAGACATCTTGGTGGGAGTGAAAGCAGAAATGGGGATGCCGAAGCTGGAGAAACCAAATGAAGGCTACTTGGAGTTCTTTGTTGACTGGTCAGTACTGTCTATGCAGATATTTTTAAAGAAAAATGATTTAAAACTGAAGGTTCAGAAAATGAACCTCTAGTTTGCTGTTGAACCCACTTTCATACTTATTCAGATATCTAGCAAGCATTTACTGACCTCCTATGTGCCAAGTACATAGTCAGGACTCTTGGCTTGTGTGCTGCCCTAGTCTTAACCACTTGGCGATTGCTGAGCCTTGTTTTTTCTGTCCAATAAGGGAGGACATCTGCCAGGCAGCCTAACACATGACTGTGATGCGGGTCAAATGAAGTGCAATGTGTGTTACGGTGCTTTGAAAAATGTCATACACAGACAGTAAGGATCATTTGGTCTAAAATGCCCTGTTTCTCTTCCTGCTCTAGTTCTGCAGAAAATTGTTCATGATTTGGTTGACAGATGAGGCCTAGGGTGAGCTAAGCAGCCTGACAGGCTGAGGAATTGGCAGCTGGTCAGGCAGTATGGGTGCTGGGAGGAGAGAGGGTTCTGTAGTGTCTGCAGCCAGCCCTGCGCCAGAATGTCACTTCCTTCTCTGGCCAGCTTTGTGATCTCAGGCTGGTTACTCAGTCTCACTGTGGCCAAATTTCTTCATCTAAAAAAATGAGGATAATAAATAATACCATGGTGATGAAGAGGAAATGAAAATAGAGTGAGTACCTAGCACAGTGACTGACTCCCGGTGGGCTTTTAACAAAGCTAACAAAGCTAAGAATTCTCCTTGTTAGCTCCACTGTCTAGAGGTTGGGGCTTTTTATTGGGTTGCCAGCCAGGTCCCATCTTCTATCAATTACCTTGCTTCTGGAAGCCAGGCCTTTTTGAAGTGGGTAAGGATCTCTGGGCTCATGCTAGTTGTAGGTATATAATGTTGACCCTGTGTCAGGATCCCCAAGACCACCTCTACATTCAGAGATTTGCTAGACTTAGCATATAGTGATACTCATAGCTAGGGTTTATTACAGCAGTGAAAATGCAGTAACTTATTTGTGATATTTCTGCCCAGGAAAGCCCATTAGAAACTCAGCACCCAAGATATTTACCGAGGGGCTGGTCACGCAGACACTCCCTGCTTAATACATAATGAAGTTTTCTAAAGGAAAGCAAATAACCATATTATTATGGTATATTAATGCTCAGCATAAACCGTATCATTTGCACTATCTAGGCATAGTGGACTACCCCCATCAGTTTACTATTGACTGAGAATAGTCTGAGAGCCAGGTTCCTGGATACCAGCCAAGGGCTAGTCTTACAAACAGACCCTTCTGAAGATAGCAGCCTTGGGCCATAATGGCCGCCTTTTCTGCACAAACAGTAACCCACTTTTGTAGAGTGAGTTACAGTCTTCCAGTCCCATACACAGGAGCTGATTCTCACAGCACTCCTGTAAGAGAGATGACAAAGGAGTTCTGAGAGTATAAGGGACTTTCCCAGGGTTACAAAGCTAAAAATGCCAGCTCAGGTCTGCCCAACCTGTGAATCTTTGCTCGTTTTACTTCAGGCAGCCTGTGGAAGCCAGCTTTGGAGGGCTGTTCTTGGGAGTCCAAGAACTATCCGTGTTCATTTTTCTGGTTAGTTTTTTTTCCAACCTACTCCTGTCCCCTGCTCTGATCCTCCAAGTCATCTCTCCTGGTTCTGCTCATCTCTCACCAGCTTGAGTTGTCCCATGGAAAGGCCCATCCTTTAAGTCACTGTGATGATGGTGACCTTGTTCAGGCCCCCAACTTACCTTTTCCTTTGTCCTTGGAGGAAGCAAAATGCCTCTGCTGACCTTGATCTGCATAATTCAATGCAGTAACCAGTCACTGAGGAGCAGACGACATGTAAGAAGCTTGTAATTTGCCTGCCTTTTCATCTCCTTCATTACCTTCTACCTCATTCATTTTAGGCAGACCAAAGACGTTCAGCTCAACCACACCAAAGAGAGGGTGTTGCCCTCAGATACTTGGTATGGGGGATACATTTCACTGTGGCTCTGTGAACCTCTAAACTTGACTCCAAGTTTGCTTGCTAAAACTGACTAAACCTGACTCTCTAAACCTGCCTCCAAGTTAGCTTGCTGCTCTTGTCCCTTTCTTGTCCCAGCTGTAAAGGAAGAGTGACTCGAGTGTAAGGATTTTTTGAGTTGCCTCTCTCCAAGATCTGGCTTCTAGAAGTAGCCTATCTTTCCTGGCTTAGAGTGGCTGCCTGCTGGTCTCTTTTCTTCCTCTGTAGTCTCAAAAGGATCCCCACAGACCCAAGAGCTCCAGTTTCCAGGTAGTTCTCCTGAATCGATTTCTCAAGATAGTCTTAAGGTGGCACACTTTAGCTTCTTTAAGTGGCTCAGCTAATGTAATCAGCCCAGCAAGTAGAATTACCGTGAGAGAGTCACAAAACCCCATTTCCTACAGAGATGGAAGAGGTTACCAAGCACTGATGGCTGCCACCTGTATCAGAACCTCACTTGAGTCTTCAAGGAGCATAATTATTTTAACTGCATAAACAGGCACATCCCTTTATTCTGAATCAGTGAATAGGAATGGCTTCTGGACACCTGTAGATGTGCCCAGCAATAAGAGTGCCACATGCCCACTCCCACCCCAACTCCAGGCATAGGGCATCTGCTGGAAAGCTCAAGGCATTTGTCTATCCACAGGCTGAAACATAGTTGCTACCTAGTGGAAGGACAGGAATTGGTGGTGGTGGTGGTGGCGGTGGCGGTGACCAGGGCAGTGCCGAGGGTTTCTCATGCTGCTCTGAGTCTAGTTTGATTTAACTTCTTGTCAACAACTTCTAGTTTTAATTAAATTCCCAGGGGTAGAGAGGTCTCAGAAAACCAGTTGATTTTCTACTAATTCATTTCACTTGGTTTTGTCTACTTGGGATGATAATATATGGAGCCAAGGTAGGCACTGTCACCACCTCCATAATTCACTCTGTTTCTTGGGAATGACGAAAAATCTTTGATACAGCCCTCACAGCCCTTTGGAAAGGCTGCTGCTCGGACCCTGAGTCCTGTTCCAGAGATGCCTGGCAGCACTGCCACTAAACTGGGAGCAAAATCGGACCCTTTCGTATCTTTGGTTTGCTGGTTGTCGTCTAAGAGTAGGCTATTTTCAATGAGAACTTGGAAACTTTAGGAAAACATGGTTTCTATCTAAAGCCCAAGAGTAAGATAGGATTTTAGTGAGCTGGTGTATCACTCTGGGCTGTCACTAGGTGGCAAGCCATCAGATTGCTTCTCAGTTCTCCGACCATTGTGTTGATGGGTTTAGGACTGTGGTTTAGCCTCTCAGAGAGGCTTGCGTTTTTAACCAGGGGAGTTTAGGAGAACGTTTTTCATTCATAAATATTTCAGGATACCCTGCACTTGTCACTTCCCTTTAGGATCTTAACTATTTTTCAGTGTAATCACTTGTGTTTTTCACCAAAATGGAACCAGAATCTTCAAGCCCTGCATTGGTGGGTAGAGCCACTATATCTGGGTTCCTTGCCTGCTTAGTGCTGCTACAGGGGATGCTTTTCCTGGCAGAAGGGCCGGGGGTGGTTATAAAGCAGAGAGGCAACCTGCAGAGAAGCCTTTTGAGGCTAATTGTAATCAGTCTCCCAAGCTGATGAGATAACCCTCTGGGAAACTTTAAACAAAGTCTTGTGATGAAAGCTCAGAATTTACTATTGGTCTGGTGCGCATTTACAGGGAGGCTTCTGCAGGCTCAGAAATGAGCAGGTGTACACAGAGAGGAATCAGCCTTAGGGCCTGTGTTGGGGCCAGATGACTACTGGAGGGTAAGGCCCTGAGTTAGCCCTGCCTTCTGCTGTGAGCCTGGCCTGACCTGGCTGTAAGACCATAGATTTGCAGGCTAGATTGATTGCCAGGCAAGCAACAATGGGCCCAGTGTCTAGAGTCCCTTTGCAGGTAGGCATGGCCTTGATCTCATCCTACCCCAGTTAAACCAGAGATGTTCCAAGCAGAAGGGTGGAGGTGATGAGTCAGGAGGGTGGAGACCTGGGAGGGGTGGCATTCCCAGGATCTTAATTTATCCAACTCAGTAAACAGTTTCCCACAACTCTGGAAAGGGGACTGATCATGCTTTATGAAGGGTCTGAATTGGTTTTGGTAAATGGAGAAAGCATTTGGTTTTATGCCCAAAAGACCAAGTGCGTACACCCCCCACTGAAGGAGTAGATTGTGATATATATGAGCAGGTGGCTAGAAGCCTGTGGTTTTTTTTTTTTTTTTCCCTCTGTCTCTAACAGAGCAGAGGGGTTTTTTATTTAGGGGTTCTGTGGTCTACATTTTTTGACTCCAATATTTGTGATCTAGTGGTAAGTCCCAAGACCAGAGCATCCATTCATTTCCTTGAGGCAAAAGGTAAACCCAAGGAAAGTAAATCTGACTAACATTAGAATGTAAACCAAGCTTGCCAAATTACATATTCAAGGAGAGTACAGGGAAGCATAGTAGTTAAGGGCCAGGCTGCCTGGGTTAGAATTTTAGCTTACCAGGCACACTCATCATGTGGTGTTGGACAAATGACATAACTTCTGATTCAGTTTTCTTATTTCTAGAATGGAGTCAGTATCTGCTAGGGTTGCTGTGGACATTAAATGAGTAATACACCTAAAGTGCCCAGAGTGGTGTCTAGCTCATACTCAACATTCAAAAAATGGTAAGCTTTCCCTTCTTGTAAAGTGAGAGAGTTAGACTATTTGAAGTCTCACAGTGTCATCCTGCAGGTCAAATCCCACCTGTGAGATTTTTGTTTCATATAGGGATGTTTCTTTTTTTAAGGTGGACCTTAAGTCAGGGCTGGAAAGTTTGCTTGCTATAGTCTCTGTCATTCTCTATTAGTTATATGTGGCCCTTTGTTCAGATACATGTAGTAACCTTACTGACCCCGGTAGGCATTTGGGTTTTCATCCTCTGAGGATGGTCTCTGAGGCCCTTTCCAGGTCTACATTTCTGTCTAAATTTGTCAGAAAGAGTCCTTGGGCTGTGAGTGCCCCAGTAGTGAAGTGGAATCCTCATTTCTCTTTGTCTTCGCCCATCGGCAGAATATGGCTTTCTTATGTTACTTAAAGCGTTGTACCCCATCCCCAACCCTGAATAATTCCCCTCCATTTTCCCAGCCTCCTCCCCAGAGTCACTGCACAACTATGGCATCATCCAGGCACAGGAGAGCTCAATGGGCTCATGAGTCTCTAAACCTTCCTCTTTGTCTGACTCCTGGCTCTTCTGGAAGATGGTGTGTGTGTGTGTGTGTGTGTGTGTGTGTGTGTGTATGTGTGTGTGTGTGTGAAGGCATTTAAAAATAGGTAAAAATTTCCACATTAGCCCAATGTCAAAAAAAAAAATTAATGGGGTATGATTTTATAGATAGACTAATGTAGACAGTTGGACCTGGGAAGCTCTATAAACCATCCCCCAAGGCTGTAGAAGAGTGAATGCATTAGTCCCAGAAAAATTAGTCACACCCAGCAGGATGTGTCCACTGCATTCAGGGAAAGATAAACGTTTTGAGCATAAGTATCTCTGACTGGATTTGTGTACACAGAAATCTCTGTAGATGTATTTTTAAGCACTTAAAACACAGGACTTAATATTGATTGCTTAGTGTTTAAATTAAAAACAGGTTGTGTTTTGCTGGCTGTGCAGAGTAAAAACTTGGTCCCTGGTGACTTGATTATTTCACCATAAACAAGCTGCTTTTCTTGGCTTGATGCCTGAGTCCAGCAGAGGCAGGGAACAGCGAGGTTGCTATAGCAGTAATGAAGTCTCTCTTGGGTACTTTAAAGGGGATTCTGGCTCACAGTGGTAAGGAAAGAATATATAATTAGAGAGGCAAAATTGTATGTAACAGCATAGTCTGATTATTTTAGAATTCAGTCTTTTACCTGTATTACCAAGTGAGATTTCTTTTAGTGTTATACAAATGGGATGGGCACTGCCATGGGCCTTCACACAGGTTTTGCATTGCCTAGAATCCTCCCGCCTTTCTGGCCTGACCAGCTCTGCTCATCCCAGGTTTGAGGTCTCCTGTAACCCTGAACACTAATTGACACTCTGTGCCCCTCTCCGCTTCCACCTCACTGTTTGCTGTCTATGGTGAAACTCTCCTACCTCATTGGAACTGCTGGCTTTGGGTCTGCATCTGCTTCACTCAGCCTCTGGGTGTCTGGTAGCTGGTTTAGGGCTGGGAACTTTCCATATGGGTGAGGGTCAGAAGGCTTTAATACGTGATTTCATAGAGTCCATGCTGAAACCACTAGCTTCTTACCTTTCTGGTCCTTTATTGTTATAATAAAATGATTACTATAATGTTTACTTATCTCGCATACATATTAAGGATTTGTTTGTATTAAGCCAAAACTCTCAGAAATGTCCTACTAAATACTTTGGTGTTTTTAGGTTGGCTAATGCTGAATCCTGTTAGTTTTGTTAAGGTTATTGGGCATTAAATATCAAGAAGCCAAAAAGGAGAAAAAAGTTTTTTTCTTGAAAAATACCAAATAAAGGAGGTAACCTACTACTTTTGAGCCAATAATTTTTCTTTTTCTTCAGTACAGTGATCTCTAAAGTTTATAACAAAGCTTTGACGTATATGTCTTTTAAGTCAATCCAGAGAGGATTATATATGTCTTTTAAGTCATTCCGAAAAGGTTATTGTGCTTACATTGTGGTTTTTATGTTGAAAAGTATCATAGCTCATTCTAAAGCTGTGAAACTAAAGGTGGTGTGTATGATGAAAGCTCTCTGTAACCCAGACTGCTTCATTCCCTAGGGCTCTCCGCTTCCTGGGCCTGGCAGACAAGCGTATTTATTATATGCTTGAAGATAAGAGAGTTAATTATTATTGGCTGAGGTTCACATTACCATCACTCTCCTGTTTCTCTTTGGCTAAAGATGGCTTCTGTTAGAAACTCTTGGGAAATCCCATCACACACGCTGACAAATCCAGGTCCTAGTGCTGGTCTGGTTCATTACATGTTTCTGGAGGCAGGAAAGGTGGCAGATGCCATTCTTGCCTCATCTCAGTGACTTTCTGTCAAGCAGCTGGCTTTTCCAGCATTCTACAGGGAAACTGGAATAAAGCCTTGCCTCTTTGCTTTTTGCGCTTAGACTCACCCAGTTTTTTTGTTTCTGTTTTGTATAGTTCAGCCAATGCTACCCCTGAGTTTGAAGGTCGAGGAGGTGATGACCTTGGCACAGAGATCGCTAACACCCTCTATCGGATATTTAACAATAAGAGCAGTGTTGACCTGAAGACCCTCTGCATTAGTGCTCGGGAGCACTGCTGGGTTCTCTATGTGGATGTGCTGGTGAGTATCACCTTGCTGTCTGGCCATATTCTACCTATGTTGGAGACTAGTTGGCCTACTTTCCTTCTAGTGCTTTTTTCCTCTTCAGGTGAGTGATTTCAACTTATAGGGTGAGATTAGTTGGGAAAATGTGGTCTCCTATAATATTTTTTTAAAAAATTAAATACAACATAGATATAAGCAGCATATATATAATGCCATTCTATAGTAAAATTATAGTAATATCATGGTAGCACCTAAAATTGCCCATAAAAGTTGTCAGGGAAGAATGAAACGAGATGGTCTCTGAATGGTGCCAGACAGAGTTGGGGGGCAGAATTTAGACAGGTCGGTACATTGTGTGTGGAAGGATGATCAGCTCTTTACGTGCATTTTCATTTAAACCTTCTTAACCTGTTGCAAAAGGACAGTATTATATTCCCCATTTATAAGTTAGGAAACTAAGACACAGAGAGGTTAAGTAACTAGCCCAAGAGGTCTCAGCTTTCTGGTAGTGCTGTTGGATATCAAAGTCAGGTCTGTATGATGTGAATACCTTCTTTGACCTCACTGTGCCATTGCTTTTTAAACAGCTTTTTAAACGTGCTTGCCCCTGGTTTGCTGGGTGAGGCCACAGAGGCCCTGCTTCCTCCCACACAGAGCCCACTCCCTTAGGGATCTTTTTAGTCCAGCCCTTCCTTTCCTCCCTTGTACTTTGCCTCCCAAATACTCCTCTACCCATGTTTTGGCACTCAATAGTAACTTCTCTGTGTAGCTCTAATTAATTGTTTTGTTGTTGTTGTTTTTGAGATGGAGTCTTGCTCTGTCGCTCAGGCTGGAGTGCATTGGCGTGATCTCGGCCTACTGCAACCTCTGCTTCCTAGGTTCAAGTGATTTCATGCCTCAGCCTCCCAAGTAGCTGGGATTACAGGTGTGTGTCACCATGCCCAGCTAATTTTCATATTATTAGTAGAGATGGGGTTTTATCATGTTGCCCAGGCTTGTCTGGAGCTTCTGACCTCAAGTGATCTGCCAAGCTTAATTTTGCTTTTATATAATACTATAGCAGTTGGTTGCCTGTTTATGTACAGGCTCTTGTTGGGTCTGTTTTCTTCCTTTTTGTTAAATTTTGTGAGCCTTGAGATTAGCAACTACATCTTACACTTCAGATTAGGACACAAAGCTAAGCCATTGGCCAAATAGATTCTTTAATGAATGTACAGATGAAGGAGATTCGTGAACTGACAGTGAACTTCATTGAAAGAAACAGCCTGGCTCTGCATGTTGGCTCTACTAAAACAGGGTGGAGCTTTCTAGATTTTTCTAATTAATTTGATACTGGATGGCGTATACTCAAAAAGTAGCAGTGGTAACCATTATCTAGCAAGTAACTATTGCAATGCTACCACTAATAGGTAAAAGTAATGAAATTATAGATCTGTTTGCTTTTTTCCATCTCTGATAAGTGGGATGTACCTTGTAGTATGATTCCTGCCAAGCAGGCAATGTTTCAGTTCCTGGTTTTGAGGAGGTGGGAACTGGCAGCCTATAGTCCTTACTGAGGACGGTCGAGGCAGTCTTCATAGTTGCCCAGGGAAGTGCAGCCCTGTGACGTCAACTCTGGAGTTCCATCCTGTGTCTGAAGAATATTAAGTCCCGTTCCCTTCCCCACTAGAAAAAGTTAAGACACAAGTGTTGCGGCACACTGCATTTGTCCATGATGCTAATGTGTTCATACTCAGTTTTCATGCACACTGGTCATTTTGTGGGATGGCCCAGTGATGGGGACTGAGGTGGTTTTGATTCAGTCAAACTCAAAGCAACGGAAGCCTGTTCTATTAGTAAAGGCTTTTACAAAACTGATGAATATTGGGACATTATCTCAGCTCAGAGGCAGTCCTCTTCAATGAGCAGGGTATGCATGGTGTGCAGGAGTATCCAAGGAAATGTGCACTGTGTCCCTGTCATCCGTAGATCTTTCTTTTTAAGACTCCTGGCATTTGGATTTCTTCTGAAATATTTTTTAAAGGGTTTTGTTTATTTTGAAGAAGACATGAGCTTTTAAAATGTTGTCATATATTGACTTGGTGCAGTGGCTCACGCCTGTGGTCCCAGCACTTTGGGAGGCCAAGGTGGCTAGACCACCCCAGGTCAGGAGTTTGAGACCAGCCTGGCCAACATGGTGAAACCCCTTTTCTACGAAAAATACAAAAATTTGCCGGGCATGGTGGCGGGCACCTGTCATCCCAGCTATTGGGGAGGCTGAGGCAGGAGAATCACTTGAACCTGGGAGGCAGAGGTTGTAGTGAGCTGAGATGGCACCATTGCACTCCATCCTGGGTGACAGAGTGAGACTCCATCTCAAAAAAAAAGAAAAAGTTGTCATCTTCAGAAAAGTTTTTAATTAATTAGAAAAGCATTTTTGAAAATTATATTATTAATGAGGTAGATCCATTTTTGGCATTCACATAATTTTCATCAGTAGAGGGGTTCTTCTTCCATGAAAGCCATGATGGGAATGTGCTTTCTGTGTGCGAGGTAGGGGACAGACTTTTGTTTAGGGATTAAGTTTTTATCCCAAACCTGAAGATGTACTGAATAGATTGAGTTCATGTTTGAAGCAAGGTGGTAGAAACCTTTGAAGCAAGGTAGTGGAAAAGAAATCTAATTTCTTTTTAGCAACTGGTCTAGGTAGTCCTCAGAGCCCATGTTCAAACAGTTATTAGCTGGGCACCCTGCCATGTTTTCATGCTTATTTACTTCAAACCTATTACAGTCAGGTGACCCATCTGTTTCCAGTATTGTGTTTTTCCCCAGTTGGGTTATTTTATGAGAGTGAAAATTTCACTTTGCTTTGCTCTTTGTAGTTCTTTAATGGCATCAGTTTTTGCCCCAGGTGCGATAACTGTTAGAACTTTGTTGCACTAACAACACACAGTTGACCTTTGGTGGGGAAATTGGTCACAAGGCTGTCTTTTGATGGGCTCCTTCGCAAATAATCACTAACCTTCTTCATAGCACCCCTTCTGCTGAGCTCTGGGGGTAAAGGGATGAACAAAACTACAGAGTCCCAGCCTTTAGGAGTTCACAGTTCAAATGAAGAGGAGATACACTCTAAACAAAAACAGAAATATGTGACTTTTCTTTCTACATGTGACTTCTCACCTTATTTGGGACAGCCCAGTTGGCTTTGTTCCATAAGCTCAGGCCAAGGCCTCTCTAAAATGAGGACAGAGGATATGGCAGCTTCCACTTAAATGTGCTCTAACCTTGCTTGCTAGATGAGCACACGTAAGTGTACTCAACACTTTGGCTCATGGGCAGAAGCTTGTCCAAGAGACCTTAGTCTTCATTGTAAGTAATGTAAAACATGTAGTATTTCATGTCTGATCATCAGATATACATTGATTATTACATATAAGAGGTAATTCCACTAGTAAATGTGAACCTGGTAGCAGCTGCAGCATCAGTAGCCACCGTTCACTCCTTGTTTGAAGGTCAGGCATATGTTAGCAAAGACTGGAGTAACACTTGGAGTACAATTGGGAGCCATTTGGGGCAAAATAAAGGTGATCAGTCCCACCTTCAGGGCAGGCCCACTGGCCTGGAGTGCCTGTGGGAGAGGAGCCCACCACAAGCCACGGCCTCTGACTGTTGATATCACAGCCCCGGCCAACTGTGACTTTGTGTGCATGGACCATGTAAGCACAGCCATGACTAGACAGTGCCTGTAATTAGGGTGAAGGACTTTGTCAGTGAGCTGCAGTCACTGCATGGGTAGCCAGGAGAGCAGCCACATGTTTTCTTTATTTTATTAACATGCAGTCAGTATTTCTTAGAAATCAGTGTCCTTGACCACAGAATAGATTTAGGGAAAGAAAAAAAAATCAGTGTCCTGGCCAGGTGCAGTGGCTTATGCCTATAACCCTGGCACTTTGTGAGATGGAGGCAGGTGGATCACTTGAGGTCAGGAGTTCAAGACCAGCCTGGCCAACATGGTGAAACCGTCTCTACTAAAAATATAAAAATTAGCTGGGGGTGGTTGTGCACACCTGTCATCCCAGCTACTCAGGAGGCTGAGGCAGGAGAATTGCTTCAACCTGGGAGGCAGAGGTTGCAGTGAGCCAAGATTGCACCACTGCACTCCAGCCTGGGCAACAGAGACAGACTGTGTCTCAAAAAAAAAAAAACAAACAAAAAAAAACCAGCAGTGTCCTTTAACTGGGGTAGTGTTTTAAGTAACGAATGATATTTGTTTTTCTTCCTTCTTCAATTCCTGTCTCCCTTAGCTGCTGGAATGTGATGGAAATTTGTTTGATGCCATTTCCATTGCTGTAAAGGCTGCTCTCTTCAATACAAGGTATGTGTTCCTGGAAACAGCTCTGCAAACCTGTGGAGAACCAGAGCAAACACTTGTAATTGAACACTCAGGAAAATTCTACTGTAGCTCATATGTGAAGATAACAGGGAGTTTTAACATTGAAAATGGTGTTATCTAATGTTAAACTCCAGAAAAGATAGATTTCATAAATTAAAACTACATATATACATATATTCTGTATTTATTTTTTATATTGTTATAAATAGACACCTACCATACAGAAAAGCCAGAAGAATAGACATCACCTACAGGCCAACTGTCCAAATAGTATTACTGAGTGAACTCTATGGGGACAAGGATTTTGCCTGTTTTGTACTTGCCTATATTCCTAGCAGCATGAACAGTGCCTGACACATAGTAAATGTTTGCATATTGCTTGATTATACACGTGTATGTTCTAAAAACAGGGTAACAGCTTGCCCTTTGGTTTAAGAAGAGAAATGGTTATTCCGCATGGTTCAACTTTCCAAACAGGTTGTGTAGAAGGAACAAATTGCCAAGGTTTTTTGGAGTTGACATTTGTTCAGACTAATTACTAACCTTTCCCCTTCTATGCTCCAAGTACTTTGAGGAAAATTTGCAGGATTTATGAATAAATATGTGAGATAGGGTGTTCATCCCATGAGAGAGCCTACATTAATAAGGCAACAGAGGATCCTATTAAAAAATGAGAATTAGAAATCTCTAGGGATATAACCTGAGGACATTACTGAATAAATGAACAAAGACATTTATTCTAGGCTGTTCATCACAGCGGCTTTGTAAGGGCAAGAAACGGGAAACAGTCTGAGTGTCAGCAACATAGGGGTTTGAAGTCCACACAGCAGCCTACTTAAAGGCATGTTAATATGGAAAATCATTCACTAAATGCAGTCCGCTCATCCTGGTTTTTGTTTGTGTGTTGTATTTTACTTTGCTGGTTCTTACATTTAATATGTCTGGAAATAAATATATATCCCCAGGTGGTCATTGTAATTATTTTTCAGTGCTCATATTTTGGCCAACTTAACTTTTATCTGTTTTTTTTTTTTTTTTAGAGTTTTTCTATAGTGAATATAGACTACCTGTGTAATTTAGAGTGGACAAAAACAAATTGCAGGTGAAATATTTTCTGAGAATGAAAGCTGTAGAGTCCCCTATCCCTAGCTGTGCCTCATAGACTCCTTGTTGAGACTATTTGAAATGTGAGCCTGGCAGTCGTGGCCACTGTGGGAGCTTGTGTGCCAGATCCCATCAGCAGTGGCTGGTGCTTGGGCCCTGCTGGGGAAGGAGAGGAAGTTGTCATCTGATATATCTCGAGCCTCAGATGACTCCCTATCTGCCAGCTGGTTCCTATAGGCACCGGGTAGGAGAGACTGGGAACCTGACAAGGCTGTTTAGCTGTGGTGGAGGTGCTGGGCAAACTGTATCCCAGGAAGAGTAACCTAGCTGCTCATGTATAAGCTTGTATTTTATGGTTTTTGTCTTCCCTGTGGATGTGAGACTCCTCTAATCCCAATCACAGCCATAGTCTCATCCTCAGACCAAGAACAGCCCTGCAGGCAGCAAGGAATGGGGACTCTGAATCCTGCTGGTATGTGGAGAGATTGTTGGCATATTCAAGGTCCTTTAGAAGGGTAAAGGCCACCTGAGGGTATTCTTTAGCTCTACTGCCCAGTCATATTGTAGCCAAAGGGCTGGGAAATTGAAAGATACTCTGTGTCTAAGTGTGTAAGTGTGTAAATGGTTGCCTGACTTGTTCAAATAGGATATTACTTAGTACTTGAGAACTTCTCCTGATGGAAGGCTCCGATTAGGGAAGACCATTGCAGAACTACTTGGCCCTTGTAGACCTTCTCTGGCTGAAGCTCTCCTGATCTGATCTAGATGCTGCCTTGTGTGTGGATGGCCAGCAGGGCTCAGTCATGGGGGCTTTTGTTAGAGAAACTGGGAAAAGTACCAATGCGGTTTCCGTTACAGTAGCTGGATGGATCACTTCTTCCTTCCTGGCTCCTCCACCCCAGCCTGGAGTGAATTGACTTTATAAGTTAAATGTATTTTTCAGCACCCAGCTGAAGAAACAGAATGTTGCCAGCACCCTAGAAGCATCCCCCACCTTCTGTACCACCATGCAGGTACACTCACTGATGATAACCAGCATCTGAAAAGGATAGATTACTTGTGTACAGATATAAATGGTATTATATACTATGTTCTCTTTGCGTCTGCCTCATTCACTGAGCATTGTGTTTTAAGAGATCTGTGTCACTGCCTTAGTCATAGCTTGCTTTTTGCTGTATGGTGTTCTCGTGTGACTTTGTCCAGACTGCTTTTTATCCACTCTACTGTTTATGGGCATATGGTTCATTTAGAGTTTGAGGCTACTATAAATACAGATGCGCATCATGAACATGTTTGTGCATGTCTTTGGTACACATATTTCTCTATTTCTGTTAGGGAGGAGTGTTATGGGTTACAGGGTATAGCTATGTTTAGTTATCGTAGATGCTGGCAGTTTCACAAAGTGTTTTTACCAGTTAACACTTCCACCAGCAGTGTATATAAGAGTTCTTGGTTGTTTCATATCTTCGTCAACCCTTGGAATTTTTTTTTTTTTTAAACATTGAGTCTCACTCTGTCTCCCAGGCTGGACTGCAGTGGCATGATCTCAGCTCACTGCAACCTCTGCCTGCCAGGTTCAGGCCTCCCAAATAGCTGAGATTACAGGTGTGTGCCACCATACCTAGCTAATTTTTGTATTTTTAGTAGAGATAGGGTTTCACATGTTGGCCAGGCTGGTCTCAAACTCCTGACCTCAGATGATCCACCTGCCACAGTCTCCCAAAGTACTGGGATTACAGGCATGAGTCACTGTGCCCAGCCTTTTTTTTTTTTTTTTTTTTTTTTTAGTATTTTGGTGAGTGTGCCGTGGTATCACAGTGTAGTTTTAATTTGCATTTTAATAGATATTTAAATTGAGCACCTTTTGGTTAGTTGGCAACTTGGATAGCCTCTTTTATGAAGACTATCCAAATATATTCTACATTTGAGTCTTTTGCCCACTTTTCTATTTTGCTGTCTTTTTTTATTGTTGTCTAGTAAGAATTCTTTATGTAATCTGTTGGATATATATTTACAAGTATTTTCTCCCTCTGGATAATGTTTTTAGGTTTTATTTATTTATTTTTATTTTTTTCCCATGAATTCAAAGCCTTTTAATGATGTGAATACTTACTCCCCATTTCTTTCTTACATTTTTATAAAAAATTTAGAGTTTTCTTAAAGTGGCATTTTGTTGGTTATTATAGTGATGATACATATTAACCCTTTGTATTGAAGAAGTATCATAAAAATCACATGGCATTATGAATTTTTGATAAGAAGGAGTAATATTATCCTCTTTTAACAACTAGAGGCTCCCAGGCATACTCTTCAGTGAGAAATTATTAATTTTGTATTTTCATTTTGACAATAATCTTTTCTTGTTTTTAACCAGTTATAAAAACAAAGCTTTTTCTTTTTGTGATAATGTACAGTAAGACTTAGTTTCTTGAGCTGACACTAAATAAAATGAGATAAATAGGAACATTCTAGGAGGTCATGTTTAGATTTTAGAAAGGATGGCGTCCACATATATATGGATGAGAAATCTTGGAGTGTATGATCTGGGACTGAAACTGTGGAATATATATCTAGTGTCAAGATCTGAGAGCAGAGGGAGTTTGCTCTGGGATCTGGAATAAGTGATGGGGAAATGTTTTTAAAAAATAAACAAATAGGCTAGGTGCAGTGGCTCACATCTGTAATCCTAGCACTTTGCAGTGCCAAGGTGGGCAGATCGCTTGAGCTCAGGAGTTTGAGACTAGCCTGGGCAACATGGTGAAACCCCATTTCTCTGTAAAAACAAAACAGGCCAGGCACGCTGGCTCACACCTGTAATCCCAGCACTTTGGGAGGTCAGGGCGGGTGGATCACTTGGAGGTTAGGAGTTCAAGACCAGCCCGGGCAACATGGTGAAACCCTGTCTCTACTAAAAATGTTAAACTTAGCTGGGCATAGGGGCACATGCTTGTAATCCTAGCTACTCGAGAGGCTGAGGCACAAGAATTACTTAAACCCAGGAGGCAGAGGTTGCAGTGAACTGGGATTGTGCCACTGCACTCTAGCCTGGGCAACGAAGCAAGACTGTGTCTCAAATAAACAATTGTGGGAGGATTCCTAGGTTTACTGCACTCCAGTTTATGCTTATATAGTACTCACACTCAGATCTTAGGACCTTTCAAGGGCTGACCCACCCATTTTCTGTGTTGTTAGTTTTTAAATGATATACAGAAGTCTTCTGATATACAGAAGTTCATAATGTTAATATAATTGGATCTATAACTTTTTTCCCTTTTATGATAACACTTTCTGTATCCTGTTTAAGAAATAGTTGTCTACTCCAAGGTCATGCAGATGTTTTTTTCTAAAAGCTTTATTGTCTTATCTTTCACTTTTATATCTGTGGTGTATTTGGTACCGCTTCACGTGTGTGTGGTGTGAGGTAGGGATTGAGGTTCATTTTTCTTCATTTGGATATCTGATTGACCCAGCATTATTTTCTAAAAGATGCCTCTCCTCATTGGACTGTGGTGCCTCCCGTATGCTTTTGACAGGGACGAAGATAATAAAGGATAGGCATAGCGTACCTTTCTCTTTGAGACACAGGGATTCTAACTCCTATTCTCAATCTTAAAAAGAAGTGTTTTTTCCTCCTCACAGTAAATGGAAATTTTAATTGTGCTTCTGTTTCCAGGATACCAAGGGTTCGAGTTCTGGAGGACGAAGAGGGGTCAAAGGACATTGAATTGTCTGATGACCCTTATGACTGCATACGACTAAGTGTCGAGAATGTTCCCTGCATTGTCACTCTGTGCAAGGTATAAGCTTGTATTTTATGGTTTTTGTCTTCCCTGTGGATGTGGGTCTCCTCTAATCGCAATCTGCTGAGATTACTTAATAGGTTGATAAATTATAATATCACACACCATATAGAAATAGCTTTAACCCAGATCCAATAATTTGCTTATATTAGAAAAACACTACCATGAGTAGCTTTTTCTTTTCTTTTTAGTTGGAAGATATGATGTGGCCTGGGAGCCAGGAGTGTGTTTGTAGTAATAGTAGCCAGAGTTTGTTAAGCTCCTTCCACATACCATGTACTTCAGTAAAGCACTGTGTCCTTTAATTGCCTCAACTCTATTGGGCTTAGGGTGGCTGAGTAGTGGCAGGGTGGCAAACAATGCCCCCTCTATGAAATGGGAGATTAGAGCAGGTCTTCGGTGTCAGGAGTGGTTTTCCTATAGAGCAGAGGGCTGTGGAGCTCAACATCTGGCTGATGTGACGTATAACTAATGCTGCCCCAGGCTGTGCAAAGAGACCTGTATTGGCTATTAACTGGGATTGTAGCTAATTCCACTCAGGATTCATTATCTTAAAATAAAGCTAAACTGGTCAGATTTAATTCCACTGAAATAACTTCATGAACAGGATGTGGTGAAGTGTTCAGACAGCAGGGTATTGGGTCTTGCCTTTTTTTTTTTTTGAGAAATAGTCTCCCTGTGACACCCAGGCTGGAGTGCAGTGGCAGAATCTAGGCTCACTGAAACCTCTGCTGCAACCCACCCCCGCCACCTGCCCAGGCCCAAGCTCAAGCAGCCCTCACACCTCAGCCTCCTGAGTAGCTTGTACCACAGGCTAACACCACCACACCTGGCTATTTTTTTTGTATTTTTGGTTGATACGGGGTCTTGCCATGTTGCCCAGGCTGGTCTCAAACTCCTGAGCTCAAGTAATCCATCTTCCTCAGCCTCCCAAAGTGCTGGGAGGCATGAACCACTGCAACCAGCCTTTGGCTTGTTCTTGAGTGTGCCCCTTAGCATGGGCCTCTTGATTCCTCCTTGCCATCAGTGAAACATCGATGTGGCATTGTGTGGAATTTGTCCCTTGTGCCCCTCTGTTGGAAAGCCTCTGTGGCCTCTGTCTTGGATGGTCTCTGAATTCTAGTTTTAAACCCCCTTGCCCTATTTTTCCGTGTCATGTTTTTATTGTATCACCCACACAGTGGCCTATGAGAATTGTTGAACATTCCTTCAACTGTTTTCCTCATGAGCAGAATCTAAAATAAGACCTGGAATGACCTATGTGAATCCTTTGCCTGGTGTAGAGATTCCCACCACGAGGCCATCAAGAGTGGGGCTCTGGAGCCTGTGTGACCCCTGTGTGCTGTGTACCCTGCCTTTGCAGATTGGCTATCGGCATGTGGTGGATGCTACCCTTCAGGAGGAGGCCTGCTCCTTGGCCAGCTTGCTGGTGTCGGTGACCAGCAAGGGAGTTGTGACGTGCTTGAGGAAAGTGGGGAAGGGCAGCCTGGACCCAGAGAGCATCTTCGAGATGATGGAGGTGAGGCCCTGGTTTTGTGGATGGTGTGGGGACCTGGCCGGGACACCTGCTGCTTCCTGCCCACTTGGTTACACCGTGGGGATTCTTCCCATTCACATCCTTGACTTCAAACCTGGAGCTTGGAGAACAGTTGGTTTGAGCCAGGGGTCTGCTGACCTAACCAGGAGGGTTGGAGGGTGGAGACTCTGGACTGGGAGGTAAGGAGCCTACTGGCAACCATTGCTTATCCTCAGTAAGTCCCCCTGCAACTCATTTCTGTGTGTCTAAATAAGACTGCTGGACTTCCATAATGGAAAGAGCCACTCGTAACTCCAAAATCACAGGCCTTAGTGACTTGTTGAAGGAATTGAATTCTTGGCTCACTGCTTCCTGTCCCTTGAAGTTGGTGAGTAAAGGTGGAAGCAGGGGTTGAAGTGTGGCTGTCTCCCAAATTCATTACAACTCTAGAAGTGTTTAAATGGAGACAAGCAGGGATGGTGAGAAATCCGACCCCCTGGAGTTGGGAGTGGGTTGTCCCCATTCCTGTCAGAGCCATGAGGGCACTTCTAAGTTCTCTGTACTGTTTTCCCCACGTCTGTCACTTCACTAGCCTGGAAGTCCTTCAGGGCAGGGACAGGGTTCTGCTCACCTGTTTTCCAGACCTTCCTTCCCCTCCATCCACCTCACCTTTCTGACTGACTGACGGAACTTCCAGGAACAGAGTGAGCTGGATTTGATTATTCATACTTTCTTGTAACCTCTATATCACCATGCATGCCCAGAGATCATTGCTTAGTAGCAAGCACTCTTCCTTCATTTTTAGATACGATGACCTCTTACTGAAGAATTCAGGAACATGACTTCTACTTTCTTTCTTTATCATGTTATTTAAAAGGGCAGAATGGGCCGGGCGCGGTGGCTCAAGCCTGTAATCCCAGCACTTTGGGAGGCCGAGGCGGGTGGATCACGAGGTCAAGAGATCAAGACCGTCCTGGTCAACATGGTGAAACCCCGTCTCTACCAAAAATACAAAAAATTAGCTGGGCATGGTGGCGCGTGCCTGTAATCCCAGCTACTCAGGATGCTGAGGCAGGAGAATTGCCTGAACCCAGGAGGCGGAGGTTGCGGTGAGCCAAGATCGCGCCATTGCACTCCAGCCTGGGTAACAAGAGCGAAACTCCGTCTCAAAAAAAAAAAAAAAAAAAAAAAAAAAAAAGGGCAGAATGAGCACTGTATATAGCATGGAGTTACCAACCATGGTCTCTGAAGGTGTGCTGCCCTGGCTGCAAATCCTGGCTCTGAGCCGTAGTCCCCCTCATCTGCAAAGTGGGACTGATAATAGTATTATCTTCTCCAGACACTGCTGAGGTTGTTATTAGGATGATGTGAGGTGTAGAGGGAAGCATATGTCGGAGTGTCTGATACATCATCAGTTCTCAGCAAATGGTAGCTGTTACTCTCTGTGCTCCATTAAGCATCCTGAGTTCAGATTTCCCCAGACTTAATGCTGCATAAATTCTACCAAAGGCCTCTAGACAAGGGACTGTCAAACTTTGTTTCAGAAGGTACTCTTCTCTCTCCCAGGAGAGTTTATGAGAATTTCTCTAAGCAACAACAAGCACAATAAGTAAATAATAGCTAAAGTTTATTGTGTGCTTACTATATACCAGACACTGCTTTAAATATATCATTTAATCCTCAGCAACCTGTGAGGTAACTATTATTATTGTCCTCATTTTTATTTACAGATGAGGAAACTGAGGCACACAGAGGCTAAACAGCTTGCCTACAGGCCTCCCTGCTCATAAATACTGGAGCTAGGATTCAAACTCAGACTGTGTGCCTCCAGAGCTCCTGCTCCCAGCCACTGTGCACTGTGCAGTTTGCAGTATCAGCCTTATAAACCAGATCTGCCCTGGCTGTCATGGATGGCAGAACAAGAGCTCTCTGTTCAGTGATCTGAGCTTTGTCTTCCCCTCGGGTTTGGAGGATGAGGTCTGCTAACTCTGGTCAGGGGACGATAGCCCTGTGGCCCTGTCTTACTGTTTATCTCACACAAGAGTGCAGCAATCTGGAAATTACTCAGTGGTGGAGCTGAGAGCCTTGGTGGTGGTTGTGCAGGCTGCTGCCCCCGGCCTCTGCAGTTGCTTTCCTGCATCTGGATTCAGAAGTGTCAAGGGCTCTCAAGTCCTGGCATCCTGTTCATCTCATCTCCTGTTGTTGTCCTCTCTCCCCACCCTCATTATATGAATAATCAGTACCACTATTTGACAGACTCAGACTTTTTTTCTTTTTCTAATGTTATGGAAAAAATCCAAAGCCCCCCCTCTCACCTTTTTTTTTTGAGACAGAGTCTTGCACTGTTGCCCAGGCTGGAGTGCAGTGGCACAATCTTGACTCACTGCAATTTCTGCCTCCTGGGTTCAAGCTATTTTCCTGCCTCTGCCTCCTGGGTTCAAGCTATTTTCCTACCTCAGCCTCCTGAGTAGCTGGGATTACAGGCACCTGCCACCACACCTGGCTAATTTTTTTTGTATATTTAGTAGAGACTGGGTTTCACTGTGTTGTCCAGGCTGGTCTCGAACTCCTGACCTCGTGATTTGCTTGCCTCAGCCTCCCAAAGTGCTATGATTACAGGCGTGGGCCACCGTGCCTGGCCCCCTAAGGCCTTTTTGACCTTTTACTCTAATTTTGCATTTCATAGAGATGATCACTTCCCAGCCTTTTAAATTGAAATCATCTTTTCATAAGAGTTTTAGTTGGGGCTGGGCATGGGGCATGGTGGCTCACTCCTGTAATCTCAGCACTTTGGAGGGAGGCCAAGGCGAGAGAATCACGAGATCCATGAGATCATCCTGGCTAACAAAGTGAAACCTCGTCTCTACTAAAAATACAAACAATTAGCCAGGTGTGGTGGCAGGCGCCTGTAGTCCCAGCTACTCAGGAGGCTGAGGCAGGTGAATCGCTTGAACCTGGGAGGCAGAGGTTGCAGTGAGCCGAGATCGTACCACTGCACTCCAGCCTGGGCGACAGAGTGAGACTCTGTCTCAAAAAAAAAAAAAAAAGTTTTAATCATACTTGGGATCTCATCCCATGTTACAATGAGGGGCCAGGGGAGAAGACACACAGGTCATTACTCTGGGGAGAGTACACCTGTAATGGAAAAGATTGAGGCAAGGATTTAGGCATGGATGTCTTTATCTCAACATTGTTGAGAATGGAACCAGAGTTGAATCCAGACTGCTGTGGGAATGTGAAAGACTTGATAAGGTAGAGATTTGTGGTTGGTTCATTGTATTCTTAAAATGATTCATGGGCCCAGAGATAGAATAGCAATTTCATAAATAATTTTTTTTTTTAATATTGGGGTGGTGGTTCTTTTTTGAGGTAGGGTCTTGCTCTGTCATCCAGGCTGGAGTACAGTGGCACAGTCACAGCTCACTGCAGCCCTGACCTCCTGGGCTCAGGCAGTCCTCCCAACTCAGTCCCCCTGAGTAGCTGGGACTATAGGCGCATACCACCATGCCCAGCTAATTTTTTAATTTTTTGTAGTGATGGGGTCTCACTCTGTTGCCCAGACTGGTCTTGATCTCCTGACCTCAAGCAAAATCCTCTTGCCTTGACCTCCAGAAATGCTGGGATTACAAGCATGAGCCACCACTCCCAGCCATATTGAGGTTTCTGTTTTGTTTTGTTCTGTTTTTTTTTTAGGACCTCTTGTGTCTGCTGTGTAGGGACTGATTATTAATTTTGTGGGTTGTCCCTCTTAATGTGTTTTGATTCCAACATTTCACTGCCCTTAGCATCTCTGCATGGCAGTAACACCAAAGATCCCATCCAGGTACTGACTTTGGTCACACTTGAGCAGTTCTGCTTAGTGGCTTGGTGGGAGGTGAATGAGAAGCTGCTTATTAAAATGTCATTGGCATCATCTGTTTCTTCTTTAGACAGGCTCTGGATTCCCTATGGTCTCCTTATTCTTTCTTACTTAGTATGGTGTCACTTGGCTGTACCCAAGCCCGAATTTGGTTGACAACTTTGTGGCTTATTGTAATGGCAGCAGGATTGCAAAGCATAAGCTAATGGCCAGGGCAGGCTTTGCCGCTTCCTGTTTGCTGCCTGGTGGGGGCTGGTGTCCATCTCTCTCTCTCTCTCTTTTTTTTTTTTTTGATATGGTGATTTTTCCAAAATTTATTATGTCGTTGGAGTTTGTGGTTTTTGTTTTAATTTGGTTTAATTAAATAAAAGTCCTCTAAGGCAGATGAAATGTGTACAGCGTCAGAAAGACTAGCTGGCAGAAGGGAAGCTTTTCTGGTCAGAGTGTGTGTGCCTTACAAGGGGGGTGTGTTCTCTCCCGTCCCTTCTCTGTCCCACAGACCAGCAAGCGTGTGGGCAAGGTGCTGCATGCCTCCCTGCAGAGCATTCTGCACAAGGAAGAAAGCCTGGGGCCCAGGAGACAGAAAGTCGGATTCCTGGGATGATCTGTACATCAGCTGCTCAGCTGTGGATTGTTTGTTGCTTACTTTCCTTTTAAATTGGTTTGTAAATATTTTTCTTCACTGTTTTGAATTTATAGCAACATTTGTACATGTAAAATTAAAGTCTATTTTCTGATCTGGTTTGCTATGTCTAGAGTTCTTCAGTTGAAGCCAAGGCAGCACTGAGTGACCCCTCCAGGTCTGGCCCTTATCTAGTAAGTGGCAGACAAATCCAGAACTCTGCCACCAAGGGAGACCCCACAAGCTGGAGTAAAGACCTGGCAGAAAATGTTTGAAAGGAGATGCTTATGCTATGTGTTTTGTGAATTTTTTTTCCCCTTGAAGAACTTTAAAAACAAGAATCACTAAGAAGAGTTCATTCACCTTGTGTATTTGGGTGCTTGTGGGAGAGGAAAAAAGAGGAGGCACTCTGCCCCAGGTACAGACCCAGGGTGTCTGCCTGGCTGGTGAGCCTTCCCAGATCCTGGGGAAGTCCACCTCTGACTTCCTGCCCTCCAAGAGATCCTGCTGGAATTCCCTAGGTTCAGAGGCTTAGTGGTGGCTTTGTCCCTTAGCCAACCTTTCTTATCACTCTTGTTTTGAAATCACTTGTGTTTTATAACCACTCCCTGGTGTTTCCTAAGATTTTGTTTTGTCAGCATTAAGAAGGCTGCTTTCAATATGTCATTTGATTATTCAGCTGCCTTCATGCTCTGGGCATAGAAAGGAAGACTATGCTTGATTGCCCAGAAGGCTCTTCCTATAAGCCTGTAGTCTTACTGTGCAGTGAGTTAGAATTAAGTCTCTTCATGTGTAGAGCAGCCTTTGTTTTTTTTCCAGGGGAACTGAAACTCCTAAATCAGTCTTAAAACGCCCTGGGGAAGGAGCTGATATCATGAAGGAGAGCATTTCAGCCGTGGCATTTGCTCTCTGCATTCCAGTTAGACAAATGGGGTAAAGCGTTACGAATTTATCGCTAAATGGAAAAAACATAATGTGAGCTGAAGCCCTTGGGGCTGCTTTCAGAGGTCTTGGTGTGGGTGTTCCTCCCAGCAAGGCCAGGTCCATCCCTGTGGATAGAAGCAGCTGCCTAGACTTGGGCTTAATGGGGAAGCTTCTACCCCATTGAGAACATAGCCTGGGTTTCCATCTTTCATGTTTCTGTAGTGACTATCTACAGGCACCATGATGGTGTTCCCAGCAAGGCAGAAATCAACCTGGTCTCTCCTCCCCTGCTCCTGGTTGACTGCCCACGACATGACATAATATTGGCAGTGGTGGTGCAGAGATGCAGCTTGAGTGTGAATAAAGTGTAAAAGCCTTTGTTTTTGGTGGTTGATTCCAGTGGATCATTTTGAGACGCATAATTAGAATGGATACTGTCATAGATGTCCAACTCAGCTCTGCTTCACTTCTCTTCAGACAGACAGATGAGGCTTTACCATGCCATTGGTACGACAAATAGCTACCCTGCTTGGATGGCTGGCTAAGCACTTTCAGTAAAAATGAAGAAAAAAGAGAAAGATGGTGGCATCTGTCTCTAGCCACCCCATACCTTTCCCTGAAGGCCATCCCTCCGTGTAAGATACATACATCACAAATGAAACAAAATACCAGATGAACAGGGGCTCTCCGGGAGAGGCGTTTATTGGAAAGATCTGATTATTGCAGCTCTCAGAATGAGAAAAGAGAAAACTGAAGACAGAGACTGGCAAAGACTTGGAAGAATATTATTCTGGGACAGACCTGTTTCATCCAGCAGAGCCACAGCTGTTTTTAGTGGCCTTTAAATATATATCAGGTAGACGAACATTGACGTTGTTCAAAAAATAAGAGCTGGGTATAAGAAATGCAGTGTTAACTAATATTCAGGTGGGTTTTTGCTTTTATGATATTTTTAGTCTTTCACATCACTGGTTAATTTTTTTCTTTTTTCTTTTTTTTTTTTTAAGATAGAGGGTCTCAGTCTGTCACTGAGGCTGGAATGCAATGGTACAGTCATAGCTCAGTGCAGCCTCAAACTCCTGGGCTCAGGTGATCCCCCCACCTTAGCCTCCCAGGTAGCTGGAACTGCAGGTGTGCCACCATGCCCAGCAAATTATTTTTTGTAAATATGAGGGTCTCACTGTGTTGCCCAGGCTGGTCTTGAACTCTTGGCCTCAATCAATTCTCCTGTCTTGGCCTCCCAAAGTACTGGGATTACAGGCATGAGGCACTGCACTAGGCCATGAGTGTATAATTTTTTTTTTTTTTTTTTTTTTTTTTTTTAGTTGGAGTCTCACTCTGTTGCCAGGCTGGAGTGCAGTGGCTTGATCTTGGCTCACTGCATTCTCTGCTTCTTGGGTTCAAGTGATCCCCCGGCCTTAGCCTCCTGAGGAGCTGGGACTCCAGGCACATACCTATGCCTGGTTAATTTTTTGTATTTTAGTAGAGACGGGGTTTCACCATGTTGGCCAGGATAGTCTCCATCTCCTGACCTTGTGATCTGCGTGCCTCAGCCTCCCAAAGTGCTGGGATTACAAGCATGAGCCACTGCACCCTGCCGAGTTTAGAATATTAACAATAGTTTGTTTGTTCAGTAAAGCCAATGGTCTCACATACAAACTGCCAGTAGAGCATATAAGTCTTCGCCATTCCAAACTTTTTAGAAAACAATCTGGCAGTGTGCATTAAAAGCCATTTTTAAGTCTTTTAATCTGCCAGATTGTTTTTTTAAGGCTTTTAATGCACACTGCCAGATTGTTTTCTAAAAAAATACAATAAATTTACAAATACAAAAGTACAATAAAAATTTTGACTTAATAATTCCACTTCTGGGCATATAATCGAAGTAAATAATTCAAGATACAAGCAGAGAACATTAATACAGAGCAGTTGATCGCAGTGTTATTTATACATCCCAAATAATGACCATAAAGTAAATGCTAGTCACTGGGGAAACAATGTACGATGCATTGCTAGATTCTTCTGATGGATTACCTTCTGTCCTCAGCCTCACCTCAGGCTGGCCACAGCTGCAGGCTTGCTCCCAGTGCTTCTCAGAGACCTCCTGTTTTCTGTTCTTAGGCTCCTCTGGCGCTGTGTTACAGAACATTGGCAGGAGGCCACTCAGCGTCCAGGTATGTGCAGCCCAGGAGTTCTGGGGACTCAGTGCCTTCTGAGGCAACCCACGATCACTGGGGGATAGGAGTCATTGGAGAAATGCTGCTCTGTTAGACCCCTTGGGTAGACAGTTCTGAGAAGTGTTAGATACACTTGTCAAAACGTGCTGGTATGATCGTGCCTCAGGTGCACGACTGGGATAACTTTGTTTCCCTGTTTTACTTTCCCTTGCCCTTCCCTCCTGTGCCCTGTGGGATTACTTCCCAAATAATCAGAACATGAGTTGTCTCAGGCTCTGCTTTTGGGGGAAAACCCAGACTAAGCAATTGGTACCAGTAGTTGGGATGGATATAATACAACTGGGATGTCATAAATGGGCTGGAATAAAAACCACAATGGTAAGAAGGGTCAAGGTTGGAAACTGCTTCCCCTCCCTGGCCAAGATCATGAGTCAGAGACAATACTGGATCTTGGGAGAAATTGCAGCGATGAAGACCAACATCAAAGACTTGAAGGATGCAAGGGTGGCTGTCCCCACCTTACTGCCATTTAATTTATCTTTGTGTCCCCTGTAAATCCAGATGAATCATGGTAGATTAGAAGACCACCAAACACACAAGAGAGAGCTCCAACTTCTGCTGCTTTGTTGGATGAAGTATCTTCAATAAGATTAATCAGCACAGCCTCCAGTGCTTTCTATGTGGCTGTAGGTTAGGCAAATTCTTCCTTAATCTCCCTCAATAAGAAGAGTCAAAAGCAGATCTCTTATGTGGAAGGTCTGCAAAATGTGTTCAGTGTCTTGGCACTGGTCTATGTTAATCACTGACTTTGTCACAGTGTTATCTTCAGGGCCATCGTGCTGATCTATTTATGTGGATAAAATCCGGTTTATTAGATCTAGTACACAGGACGAGGCAAGCCGTTGGAAGTTCTAGGAAAAGACATGCACGCGAGGGTGCGAAATAAATGCCATGAAGGTTCATGTAGGCACCACATTGGTAATGTTTCTAGGTATTAATGGTGTGGGTCATTCTGAGAGACACCCCCTTCGTGTAGGCGCCACATTGATAATGATTTTAGGTATTAATGGTGTGGGTCATTCTGAGAGATACCCCCCTAAGGTGGTAGATTTGGAACCTTACACCCACCCTCATCCCCACTACCCTCACTAAGAAGTGTAGCACTTGTTGGGCCTCTGGATTTTGGAGACAAAAATGCAGTACTTGAGAATACCGTCTCAATGCATTTACTGAGTAATTCACAAACCTGCCAGTTGTGAGTGGGAGTCCAGAACAAGACAGGACTCCGAAGGCTGTCTAAGCTGCATTACAAACAGCGCTCCTGCTCCATGTGACCCAGAAATTCCAATAGAGCTAGTGCTGTCTGGGGCAGATAAGGGTGCTGTGTAGTTTCTGGCAGGCCCAACAGGAAAGTTGCAGCACAGACCCTAAGATTCTGCAACAAGGCCATGTGGTGGAAAATTATTCACCTCCAAATGAGTGAGTTTGAAAAGAACTTTCTTGCTTGCCATTGGGCTCAATTAGAGACTGAATACCCAACCCTGGGACCTCAAGTGACCTGAGCCACCCATCATGCTGGTTATTGTCAGACCCACCAGGTCATAAGGTTGGGTGGGTGCAGCAACAATCCATGCAGCATGAAAATGTACGTTTAGGATTAGGCCTGAGCAGTTCGGTGGGCACAACCAAGGAATATAGCAGGTAGCCCAGATTCCTCTGTCACTGCTGTTCACCAGTGCCTCCCATCCACACTTACGGCCTCATGGGGGAGGAGACTCCTGCAGCCAGCTTCTGGAAGAGGGAAACCCGAGGAAAACTCCAGGTCTGGCTTGTGGATGAGTTGGTTCTCTATATTGATGTGTGCTCCGAAGGGACTGCTGCTGCATTACAGCCCTGCAGGACAGCAGCGAGAAAACTGAGTGCAGCAGTGCACTTGGTTGTTCAGTTTGCACAAAGGGATAAAGATAGGCATGGACTCCTGGGTAGTAGGGAGTGACTTGGCTAGTTGGACAAAGGCCT